CCCCAAAACCCCAAAACCCCAAAACCCCAAAACCCCGAGTGGTTAGAAAATAGTTGAGATGAATAATTTTATGTTGACTATTGGATAATCTTTTGCTTGTCGTCATCCTCGTCAGAGTCTTGGTATTTGTTAATATCGATCAGGTTCTGGCTGTCTTTAACATCTTCTTTCATCTCTATATCAGCTCTTCCTCTTTGGTTTATTGATGAGCTTGGGTCTTCTTTTGAGACAATCTTCTCGTCGTCATCTGAGTCTCCTGCAGTGTCTGGGTTATGGCCAAGCTCTTTAGAGTATTTGTAGGGATCATTGTTTTTACTCATAATTGCTGAGTATTTATCATTAATCCAATCAACTACTAATACAAACCATTCAGATTCGGCAACTACATAGTAGGCTACTCCTATTAGGAAAAGTATAATTAAAGTTCTGATGGAGAATATAGACCATGTGCCAGGACATGCGATTTGGATTGGGTCGTATTCACCACCACCGTCACAAGTGTTTCCTGGAATTCTTCTATATCCTTTAGAAATAGAATAATATCCACTGCAATCCTCTGGAGGTTCATAAGTTTTACTTTTGGCTGCTTCACATTGACCACTTTCAGTTCTCTTGTATCCAAAATCACATTCAAAGTCATTTTCTGTGCATGGGCAGTTTTCCTGGAAGAGTACAGCTTCTTTCTCTTCTGGGTTGTAGCATTCACTGTCTCTCTTTCTTCTAACATAAGTAATCTTTCTTCCAAGGAAGCATTTATCCCCATGCCTACCATCATAAGGAGTCCAAGTCTCATAATCAGAGTCTTTAGTATCTGGATTGGTGACACCTTGGCAAGATGGCTGATGGAGGTCAGTGAAATCAATGGTGAAAATAACTCCCTTGCTCTTTGAAGTCTTTGCTCTTCTTGCAGAAAGAACGAAGTGCATAGCTTTAGAAGTTGGTTCAACCTCGATAGCATCAATATTCAAAAGAGTATTTGAAATTTTATACTCAACCCAAGTTTTTCCTTCATTCCAAGAGTAGAGAACTGTCTTAGTTGGCTTGTATAGGGGAGCCATCACTATAATACCACCGTGATCACCAAATTCAAGGATGTGGGGTCCATTCATAATTTCAAGCCAAGTTAGTCCTCCATCTCTTGAAAGGTATGTGTTGACTTCTTCCATATCGTACTTAAGCTGGGTTCCCAAGTTACCTACTCCCATTATTAGTCCGACAGCGTTGTTATGAGCGTATGGAACTGGAAAGTTAGGGCTACTGTAACTATGTAAATGCAATGAACATCCTTTAGCTGCTTTACAGTTGATTTTCTTTCCTTTTGCAGTTTGCTCGGGAGCATTCAAAAGTTGCCAGTTTCCACCACGATTAAGGGAAATATAGGTTTTAATTGGTATTTCAGGATTTTTCTTGGTTGCCATTTCAGTCTTAGCATCTCTAATTGCTTGTGCCATTTCCTGTGGGTCTGAGTTAACTTTATTTCCGTTCTTAGTTGATGCAGCTGCCTTATTCTTAAGTTTCTTAAGCACACCTGTGCTCTCTGCACTATTCATAGTATCTTTGTTCATCTTAGTAATTGCAGATTTAGAGTATTTATTTGCAATAATTACTCCTTCAACAGAGTTCACTTCTTCTATATCTGCATAACCTGATGTGCCTAATGGGACTCTGGCAAGAGTCAAAGAGAATCCTTTTCCAGAAGCATCTGACATGTACACATTTCCATATTGAACTCCACTTCCTGTGTGAAGGTTGATAAATAAGAAGACTGCTCCACTCCATGATTCCATAAGATTGTATTCGAAAGACTTATATGTATTTTTGTTCGGGAATTTAACCTTATGAAAGGTAGCAAATTTGTTGGCTCTCTCAGACATTACAAGATCAATCTCTCCATTCTTAAGGGCCCTTGCTACATAAATATACTCTGTCATCATTGCGAATCTATTAGCTCCTTTCACAACTGTTCTTGAAGTTCTAAAGAAATCAGTGGAACTAATGAGAGTGTTTCCTGAAGCCCAAGTATCTGGATCAAGGTGACCAACTGTGTTTTTCTGAACCATGAGGAATATAAGTTCCTCTGGAACTTGGTCATCGGCACTTCCTTTACCCCATTCAAATTCTAGTACATAATCTTTCAGAAAGTTCCAATGTTCGCCGAGATCTTGTGTATAGTACACTTCACGATAAATTTTGCAAGGTTCATCGTCTTCATCAAAATCTTCGCAAGAAGTAAAGATTGATGCCATAGCCCAGTTCCTTTGAGTTGGATGGAATTTTAGCTGGCTGATCTTCCTTCCATTATTTAGAGGCTTGAAGTTGGCTCCACAATCTTCACTTACCCAGTTAACACCAGATGCACCAATGAGGAAAACAAGATTTGAATCAACAGGAGATTCGACAATATCTGCAATTTTGGTTGCTTTCTTTACGTTCTTCTTATCAAGCTGACCAGCACCATCAAGCTTCTCATAATCGTGTTTAAATTCCCAGGTCTCTCCTCTATCGACTGACCTATAGATCTGTCCTTTAATGGTTTGACCCAAAATAATGTTGGTGGATTCTCCGCACCAATGCATTCTCGTGATCTCGGATTCAGTGATTTGAGATTTCTTCTTAATACTGGCAGATTTTTCATCATCCCTTTTTGTATTTGCTGGAGCCATAATTGAGGAATCGTCATCAAGTACATCGTCTTCGAAATCATCTTCGTCTACTAGATCGTCTTCTTGAAGGAACCTTCTCTGCCCATTTGTATCAAGAGTTGAAGGAGGATCAGTGGCAGTATTTGCAGTTCCTTCTTTTTCACTAGTCTCACTTTGAGTAGCTGAGAGCACTCAATTAAGTCATACAAGCAGGAAAATGGATAGAAGAATCCATCTTGCCTTAAGATATTTCATTTTTATTTTTTTAAGAAATATTTTCAGCTGAATCATTCCTATTGGGGTTTTGGGGTTTTGGGGTTTTGGGGTTTTGGGG